TTCGCCTGTGCCGCCCCCCAGCTTCTCGGGGAACACGTCGGCATTTGCGACGGAATCACCACGGCCTCGTCGGGACGACATATTTATTACACGCTGCTCGAGGCCACCTAGCTGTCCTTTGGTTCGGTTCAGCCGGTTGACGCTAGTGGGCGTCCGAGGAAAGGTCATCGCTGATGACAGTGGCGACATTCCACCGTGAAAAGGCCCAGACGGTAGAATTGGCATTACTACATGCAGGAGCGTAGGGACTTCCAGGCGGAACTTACCGAGTAGCTACGACGCGCTTATAATAATTTCGCTGAGAAAGCGTGCGAGGTAGACGAAATAGAAGAAGCAAAAAGAAAGAAAAGCAAAAGATGTTCCCACACCGGGACTCGATTCAGGGTCTGCTTGGGCAAGAGCCAGCTATTCTAACCGCCTAGACTATATGGAAGGCTGAACATTGAAACCGCACTCAAAATCACAAACCCAACGCAAATATACACACACGCACAACCACTGCAACCACGCCCCAAACGCACGCTTCATACGCTCTCGCCATCCTTCCAAGCGCTCTCACGGATACGACTACGCTCATTGCCTTTGCTGAGCCGCATAAACCCATCGACGCTATTTATCGCTCATCTGGACGACATATTTATTACACGCTGCTCGAGGCCACCTAGCCGTCCTTTGGCTCGGTTCAGCCGGTTGACGCTAGTGGGCGTTCGAGGAAAGGTCATCGCTGATGACAGTGGCGACACTCCACCGTGAAAAGGCCCAGACGGTAGGTTTGGCATTACTACATGCAGGAGTGTAAGGACTCGCAGGCGGAACTTACCGAGCAACTACGCCGCGCTTGTTGTAATCTCGCTGAGAAAGCGTGCGAGGTAGACGAAATAGAAGAAACAGAAAGAAAGAAAAGCAAAAGATGTTCCCACACCGGGGCTCGAACCCGGGTCTGCTGGGTGAGAGCCAGCTATCCTAACCACCTAGACTATATGGAAAGGCTGAACATTGAAACCGCACTCAAAATCACAAACCCAACGCAAATACACACACGCACAACCACTGCAACCACTGCAACCACGCCCCCAACGCACGCTTCATACGCTCTCGCCATCCTTCCAAGCGCTCTCACGGATACGACTCCGCTCATTGCCTTTGCTGAGCCGCAAAAACTCATCGACGCTATTCATCGTCTCGTCGGGAAGACATATTTATTACACGCTGCTCGAGGCCACCTTGCCGTCCTTTGGCTCGTTTCAGCCGGTTGACGCTAGTCGGCGTCCGAGGAAAGGTCATTGCTGATGACAGTGGCGACACTCCACCGTGAAAAGGCCCAAACGGTAAGTTTTGCATTACTACATGCAGAAGCGTAGGCACCCCCAGGCGAAACTTACCGAGGCTACGACGCGCTTGTTGTAATCTCGCTGAGAAAGCGTGCGAGGTAGACGAAATAGAAGAAGCAGAAAGAAAGAAAAGCAAAAGATGTTCCCACACCGGGACTTGATTCAGGGTCTGCTGGGCGAGAGCCAGCTATCCTAACCGCCTAGTCTATATGGAAGGCTGAACATTGAAACCGCACTCAAAATCACAAACCCAACGCAAATACACACACGCACAACCACTGCAACCACGCCCCAAACGCACTCTTCATACGCACTCGCCATCCTTCCAAGCGCTCTCACGGATACGACTCCGCTCATTGCCTTTGCTGAGCCGCAAAAACTCATCGACGCTATTCATCGTCTCGTCGGGAAGACATATTTATTACACGCTGCTCGAGGCCACCTTGCCGTCCTTTGGCTCGTTTCAGCCGGTTGACGCTAGTCGGCGTCCGAGGAAAGGTCATTGCTGATGACAGTGGCGACACTCCACCGTGAAAAGGCCCAGACGGTAGGTTTGGCATTACTACATGCAGAAGCGTAGGGACTCCCAGGCGGAGCTTACCGAGTAGCTACGACGCGCTTGTGGTAATCTCGCTGAGAAAGCGTGCGAGGTAGACGAAATAGAAGAAGCAAAAAGAAAGAAAAGCAAAAGATGTTCCCACACCGGGACTCGATTTAGGGTCTGCTGGGCGAGAGCCAGCTATCCGAACCGCCTAGACGATATGGAAGGCTGAACATTGAAACCACACTCAAAATAACAAACCCAACGCAAATACACACACACGCACAACCACTGCAACCACTGCAACCACGCCCCAAACGCACGCTTCATACGCACTCGCCATCCTTCCAAGCGCTCTCACGGATACGACCCCGCTAATTGCCTTTGCTGAGCCGCAAAAACTCATCGACGCTATTCATCGGCTCGTCGGGACGACATATTTATTAGACGCTGCTCGAGGCCACCTTGCCGTCCTTTGGCTCGGTTCAGCCGGTTGACGCTAGTGGGCGCCGAGGAAAGGTCATCCCTGATGACAGTGGTGACACTCCACCGTGAAAAGGCCCAGACGGGAGGATTGGCATTACTACATGCAGGAGCGTAGGGACTCCCAGGCGGAACTTACCGAGTAGCTACGACGCGCTTGTGGTAATCTCGCTGAGAAAGCGTGCGAGGTAGACGAAATAGAAGAAGCAGAAAGAAAGAAAAACAAAAGATGTTCCCACACCGGGACTCGAACCCGGGTCTGCTGGGTGAGAGCCAGCTATCCGAACCGCCTAGACTATATGAGAAGGCTGAACAATGAAACCGCACTCAAAATAACAAACCCAACGCAAATACACACACACGCACAACCACTGCAGCCACTGCAACCACGCCCCAAACGCACGCTTCATACGCACTCGCCATCCTTCCAAGCGCTCTCACGGATACGACTCCGCTCATTGCCTTTGCTGAGCCGCAAAAACCCATCGACGCTATGCATCGCTCATCGTGACGACATATTTATTACACGCTGCACGAGGCCACCTTGCCGTCCTTTGGCTCGGTTCAGCCGGTTGACGCTAGTGGGCGTCCGAGGAAAGGTCATTGCTGATGACAGTGGCGACACGCCACCGTGAAAAGGCTCAGACGGTAGGTTTGGCATTACTACATGCAGGAGCGTAGGAACTCCCAGGTGGAACTTACCGAGTATACGACCCACTTGTGGTAATCTCGCTGAGAAAGCGTGCGAGGTAGACGAAATAGAAGAAGCAGAAAGAAAGAAAAGCAAAAGATGTTCCCACACCGGGACTCGAACCCGGGTTTGCTGGGCGAGAGCCAGCTATCCGAACCGCGTAGCCTATATGGAAGCCTGAACATTGAAACCGCACTCAAAATCACAAACCCAACGCAAATACACACACGCACAACCACTGCAACCACTGCAACCACGCTCCAAATGCACGCTTCATACGCTCTCGCCATCCTTCCAAGCGCTCTTACGGATGCGACTACGCTCATTGCCTTTGCTGAGCCGCATAAACGCATCGACGCTATTCATCGGTCATCGGGACGACGTATTTTTTACACACTGCTCGAGGCCACCTAGCTGTCCTTTGGTTCGGTTCAGCCGGTTGGCGCTAATGGGCGTCCGTGGAAAGGTCATCGCTGATGACAGTGGCAACACGCCACCGTGAAAAGGCCCAGACGGTAGGATTGGCATTACTACATGCAGGAGCGTAGGGACTCCAAGGCGGAACTTACCGAGTGACTACGACGCGCTTGTTGTAATCTCGCTGAGAAAGCGTGCGAGGTAGACATAATAGAAGAAGCAGAAAGAAAGAAAAGCAAAAGATGTTCCCACACCGGGACTCGAGTCAAGGTCTGCTGGGTGAGAGCCAGCTATCCTAACCGCCTAGACTATATGGGAAGGCTGAACATTGAAACAGCACTCAAAATCACAAACCCAACGCAAATACACACACACGCACAACCACTACAACCACTGCAACCACGCCCCAAACGCACGCTTCATACGCTCTCGCCATCCTTACAAGCGCTCTCACGGATACGACTCCGCTCATTGCCTTTGCTGAGCAGCAAAAGCTCATCGACGCTATTCATCGTCTCGTCGGGACGACATATTTATTACACGCTGCTCGAGGCCACCTTGCCGTCCTTTGGCTCGGTTCAGCCGGTTGACGCTAGTGGGCGTCCGAGGAAAGGTCATCGCTGATGACAGTGGCGACACTCCACCGTGAAAAGGCCCAGACGGTAGGTTTGGCATTACTACATGCAGGAGCGTAGAGACTCCCAGGCGGAACTTACCGAGTAGCTACGACGCGCTTGTGGTAATCTCGCTGAGAAAGCGTGCGAGGTAGACGAAATAGAAGAAGCACAAAGAAAGAAAAGCAAAAGATGTTCCCACACCGGGTCTCGAACCCGGGTCTGCTGGGTGAGAGCCAGCTATCCGAACCGCCTAGACTATATGGGAAGGCTGAACAATGAAACCGCACTCAAAATAACAAACCCCACGCAAATACACACACGCGCACAACCACTACAACCACTGCAACCACGCCCCAAACGCACGCTTCATACGCTCTCGCCATCTTTTCAAGCGCTCTCACGGATACGGCTCCGCTCATTGCCTTTGCTGAGCCGCAAAAGCCCATCGACGCTATTCATCGTCTCGTCGGGACGACATATTTATTACACGCTGCTCGAGGCCACCTTGCCGTCCTTTGGCTCGGTTCAGCCGGTTGACGCTAGTGGGCGTCCGAGGAAAGGTCATCGCTGATGACAGTGGCGACCCTCCACCGTGAAAAGGCCCAGACGGTAGGTTTGGCATTACTACATGCAGGAGTGTAAGGACTCGCAGGCGAAACTTACCGACTGACTATGACGCGCTTGTTGTAATCTCGCTGAGAAAGCGTGCGAGGTAGACGAAATAGAAGAAGCAGAAAGAAAGAAAAGCAAAAGATGTTCCCACACCGGGACTCGATTCAAGGTCTGCTGGGTGAGAGCCAGCTATCCTAACCGCCTAGGCTATATGGAAGGCTGAACATTGAAACCGCACTCAAAATAACAAACCCAACGCAAATACACACACACGCACAACCACAGGAACCACTGCAACCACGCCCCAAACGCACGCTTCATACGCACTCGCCATCCTTCCAAGCGCTCTCACGGATACGACTCCGCTCATTGCCTTGCTGAGCCGCAAAAACGCATCG